GTCTGTCTCTGTGTCCCTGTCTCTGTCTCTGTGTCTCTGTGTCTGTCACCATGTCCCTGTCTCTGTCTCTGTGTCCCTGTCTCTGTGTCTCTGTGTCTGTCTCTCTGTCTCTGTGTCTGTCTCTGTGTCTCTCCCCCACACACACACATATACCCCACATGCTATGCAAGTACTCTAACACCAAGCTACATCCCCATTCTTTTACTTTTTGTTTAGAGACAAGGTCTTACTAAGTTGTTCAGGCTGACCTTGAATTGGATATGTAGTTGAAGCTGGCCTCCAATTTATGATTCTCCTGCCTCGTCTTCTCAAATAGCTGGTAATGTAGGCCTATGCCACTCTGCCTGGCCCTAAGGATGCTCTTTTTAAAAGTATTTTATTTTTTAATTGAATTGTGGTGTGTGTGTGTGTGTGTGTGTGTGTGTGTGTGTGTGTGTGTATACCTGTGCGCCTGCGTACCTGTATAGTCCAGAGGAGGGCATCAGATCCCCAAGAGCTGGAGTTACAAGCAGTCATGAGTCAAACTGATTCTCTGCAAGGGCAGTATGAACTTAACCACTGAGCTATCTTCAGCCCCAGAGATTGTTCTTTTCAGTTTAGGATCAGCAATAACTCCCAAGGAAGGCAGTCCTGGGGTCAGCATGTGGGCACAGAGACACACCAGTGTGGGCTACACCTACTTACCAGAGCCCTTTCTCTAATAGGCTGAGAAACCCCTCAGAAGATTCAGCTAAGGATCTTCCTGCCATCCGGGACCTTAAGAAGCTAGAGTTTGCGTAAGTGAAGGGGGAATTACCTCAGTGCCCCATGGATGTTTCTGCAATCTTCTCTGATCTTGGGGCAGAGACATGGTGAGCAGGAGGGGAGAGCTTGGAAGATTCCTGCCCTCTCACTTAACCACTGGGAAAGCATTCTCCACCTGCTGAGTGTGGCTTGTCTGCATAAGTGCAGGGGAGGCTCTGATCAGCATAGAATTAGCCATTTACATGGCAATGCACAAGCATGGACACTCACACACACACACACTCACACACATATGAATATACATGTGCTTTATAGTCACACTCATATAGCACACACATGTACACACTCAGACACATATGCATGTGCACATATACACTCTTACACATGCACATATACACACACATGCACATGTCACACCACACACATGCACACACATGTACACACACATGCAGACACACAGGAGCTCATGCTCATCAAAAAGTTCTTGGAGGAGCAGCGGCTGCTGTCCATGCTGAACTTATTCCAGCAAGTTCCTTTGCAGGGTGGGCTGGGGGTGCTTCCTGGAAGAGGTGACATCTTCACAGAAGCTTGAGAGACTGAGAAGGAGCTCACAGGGGCTAGAGAGGAAGCCTTGAAGGAATGCATACGGACTTAAGAGCCCAGTGTGTCCCAGTCCATGGCCCAAAACAGAAGGGTGTCCTGAACCTCAGTTTGAGCTGTTTCCCTGCTGAGCTAGGAATTGCACCCTGCTCCTGCACCTGGCCTGGTCACTCCCCTGGCCACCTGTACTCCTCCAGGGGCATGCATGTACATAGCCTGGCCACAGTCTTCTGAACTCGGGTGTCGTTACCACAGGCTAGCCTCGGCCCAGCCCGACTGCTGAGTAGACAGACTTACTAGGGTTCCCAGTTATGTGCATACTCAGACCCCATTTGCCTCTTAATTGTTTCCCTGGGTCTTCCCAGGGAAATATCCTTCTTGAGAAATTTGAGTGTGTAGCTCAGTGGGCTGGGTGCCAACTTGCCCAGGACTGGTCTGGTCAGGCACTGAGAGTCTTGCATGCTTAGGATCCACTCCATTCCAGCAAACTGGGACAGTTGGTCCCCTACCCTGTGTAGCCAGGCCTGGGAGCCACCATCCTGGGCAGTGCCTCCAGGGTACTAGGACTAGAGATGATGGGAAGCGGTAGGTTCTAGAGAGACAAGGATGTCTGGGCTATGACAGAACTGCTGCACTCCAGTACATGGGTCCTGAAGAGCCCCAAGAGTTATATTTAAGTCTGACTGCCTGCACAACGTTTTCCCCCAGTGCTGAGGGTTGAGCCCGGGTTGTACACACCTGTCAAGCACTCTAACACTTGGGTACATCCCTACCCAATTATTTGCTTGTTTGTTTATATTCCAGGCTGGCTTCAAACTTGCTATATAAACCAAGCCAAGCTGTATAACCTCAAACTTCTAATCTTCCTGCCTCTACCTCCCAAATGCACACTCCACCACACCAAGCTTATGCAGTGTAAAGGATAGAACCCAGGGCTTCATGCATGCTAGGCAGACAGTCTGTGATCCAGCTACATTCCCAGCCCATATACTTTTTATTTTGAAGGGGTTTTAATATTTAGTCTAGCCTTGAACTGTTACTTCTTGCCTCAGCCCTGCCAAGTACCTACCCAGGATTGTACGCCCACACCACCACTCGGCTTTAACATGCGTTCCAACTGTAAAGCGTTTCACTTCATATCTTAGACAGTCATGGAGAAGGCCATTGACATCAACTTTCACTTACAAATGGGCATAGTGAGACCGAGAGGTGAAGTGGTTTCTTTAGCGTTATAAACACCAGGTTAGCTTGCCTGGCTGACTAACAAAACTCTTGTCAGTGTTTGGTTCTGTTAGAGATTAGATCACTCCAGCCAGGAAAACTTTGTCTCAAAATTAAGAGAGTCACCCACAAGATCCTCAGGGAGTTTTAAGTAAAGTCCTCTCCATGAGAAGAGTTGCCCTAGAAGACAACATTGGACAGATTTGGAAAAATGAGGCTTGGTGATGTTAGTGATTTGCCTGCAGTCCCAGCTGGTCACACACTCACCACCAGCTTCCCTGCACCCCCCACAGATAATCAAGTTTCTCTTGTTTTCAACAGGACATAAGATGCCAAATATGTACAGGGGTAAAAAATATTGCTGAAAAGAGGAAATGTCTGAAGACAGCCACAGGGTGTTTTCTGGCTTTCAATTATTTTCAGCTTAAAAAGCCCCTCCCTAGTGATCGGAACTGCACTCTGGGTACCAGAGGCTGCAGAGTGGAACAGGCTAGAGCCCGGTCAACAGCCACCTACACGCTGGAAGCCCTGAGACAGTTCTGAGGAAGAAAGGAAGGAAACAAAGGGCTATTTTGGGGTGTCTATTGCAGCCACCCCCGTGCTCCCCACCCTGCAGGCCTCTTTTCCTGTCTGATCAGTCCACTTAAAACCTCCCACATGTGTAGAGGTGGAGGTTCAGTTGGCAGAGGACTTCCTAGTTCAATCCCTAGCACTACCTACCCTGAGCACACATCTGCGGTAGAGGCAGGAGAACCAGTTCGAAGTCTTCTTATAGAGCAGGTTGGAGGCTAGGCTAGAGAGCTTCCCTATGCTCCCTCTTCTGGCTTTCACCTGAAACAAGGTCCAGACTCAAGCCTCTGCCCTGAATGCTCTTTCTTACACAGAAGGTCCATCCCGGCCCTCACTTTCCTCTTTTTTTTTTCTTATTTATTTAGATTATGTGTGTGCATGTGTGCTGTGGAGGTTAGAGGACAATTTGCAAGAGTTGGTTCTTTCTACCATGCCAGTCTCAGGGACAAGACTCAGGTCCCCGGGTTGGATACAGGCACCTTGACCCCACAGAGCTTGTGCCTCAGTGTTCTGAGGCCCTTCCCGAACTCCCTCACAGTGAGTTCCCTCACAGTGAGTTTATCTGTCTATCATTCATAAGCAGCGACTGAATGGGAGAGCTCATGACCCAGTACAGGGTTGGGTCTCATCTTGGGCCTCCAGACTTTCCCCACACTGACAAAGACCCTTCTGGCCTTCTTCCCTGCAGTACCTAGAGTAAGCCTCCTGGATATCATGGTCCAAGACCATGAACCAATTTCTTTGATTATCTCAATGCTAGCTTTACGCAAGTGGTATCCTAGCACTGGGGAAGAGATGAGGTTTTCCCAGTATACTGAATTAGTGAGTTACAGGTTCAGTGGCCTCCAAATCTGTGCAGATAAACACACACACACAAAACACACACAAACACACAAAACACACACACCCACATGAGAGGCAGAGAGAGACAGAAAGAGAGAAAGAGACAGAGAACGATATTTAAAAGCTCAAGGGCAGGCGATCTGGTGTGACCCTGGAATAGACCTTGGCCAGTGTGGGGACCTCTTTATGGGGAAAGGTGAGCATGTAGGGACATCAGCAGCAATGAGGACAGACTTGCTGCTGAAAGCAGAAAGTGAAGCGGGAGTGTCCCAGCAGGCCTCTCAGTGGTCCCGAGCAGGAGCCATCAGCCATCGGGATGAGTCAGGGAAGTCAGGGAAGGAGCCTCAGACTGTTCTTCCTGTTTGCACTCCACTGGCTGGTATCTGACCTCTACCATCCATTGCTTCCTAGGTTGGGCCCTGTCTTGGGTCCTCAGGTTTTCCCCACACTGGCAAAGGTCCTCCCGGCCTTTTCTTCACTGCAGCACCTGGAGTAAGTTACAGACCCTGAGGAAACCCCCCCTCCCCCGTATCCCCACAAGCCCAGACTTTGTCCCCAGGGCACAGGGAGTCTTTCCCCTTTTTCCTCTTCCCTCCCATCTCTTCCCCATAGCTTTCTCAGTGAGGAACTGTGTGGGAGTCAGATGACCCCACCACAGGGACTTATGACCCCTAGGACAAGGAAGGGACAGAAGATGGGACTCCCCAGATTTTTTTTTAAAAAAAGTTTGGAGTTCTGCAAGTGTTGACACTCTTCCCACATAGCCCCTGCACTGCTCTTAGCAACCACAAAGGGCAGACAGGTGGGAGCAGGGAGCGGCTCAATAGTTGAGGTTCCAAGAGGTTAGGGGAGCTGACCAGCTCAGCAGCTCCTACAAAGCCAAGCAGAAGTTCTAGCCCATGGGGCATGGCCAGCCGAATGGCGCCCCCAGGTGGTTCAGGCCAGCTCCCATAAGCTTATGCTTATGGGACTAGAGAAGAGGACCAGGGCTGGAGGATGCTGACCTGGGATCACAAGGTAAATGGCCGCCATTTGATCCCACCTGTAGCCTGGATTCGCTGAGTGAGAACAAGATCGGGGACAAGGGTGTGTCGAAGCTCTCAGCCACCTTCCCTCAGCTGAAGGCCCTGGAGACGCTCAAGTGAGTATGCTGAGTCTTCTTCCGCCATGCTTCTGGTACAGCCCACCCTCCATCCTGTGATCTGCCCATCTCTTCACTCTTTCTGTTCTAGATCACGCGCTCTCTCACTCAGTCACTGCTCATCCGTTCTGTGTTCCTCCATGTGTGTACAGCCCGGGGGACCACCTCAGGAACAATGGCCACCTCTTTGAGACATGGTCTCTGGCTTGGAACTTACTAGTTAGGCCAGGTTACCCAGCCAGTGAGCCCCAGAGTGCCACATGTCTCCGCCTCACCATTGCTGAGAGTACAAGCATACCCAACATGCCTGGCTTTCTGAGTGGGTTCTGGGGATTGAACTCAGGACTGAGAGACAAGCACTTTATCAAGTGATCTCTCTAGACCTCATTTATTGGTTTGATGAACAAAGGAAGCCTTGCTATTCTGGGCAACAGTGGAGACTTCAAAGATCCTGCTCCCAGACCTCAGGCCTCTTCACATACAATAAACCAGAAGCAAATAAATAAACCATAATTAAAAATCAGTAAGCTGTGCATAGTAGCCCTGGGGAGGCTGAGACAGTGGGATAACCACAAGTTTATGGCAACCCTCTGACTCAGACTCAAAAAACAAATGGTAGGGGAGGAACCAGCAGGGCAGCTTAGTCAGTGACAGTGGCTGCTGCTAAACTGGGGCCATTTGAGTTCCATCCTCAGGACCTACAAGGTAGAAGAAGAGAACCAACCAGCTCCTGTACATTGTCCTTTGAGCTACACACACACTAAAAAAGAGAAAGAGAAAAAAGTATCAAAATAAAATACACTGTAAAAAAATTTAATGCATGAGAACTATACTGGGGTGCTGGAAGAGAAGGGACAGGCTGGGGCTCAGCGGTGAAACGCTGTGTGGTGGAAGTTGTCTTTAGCTGTTCCACTCTTTGGAAAGTTAAGGTGGAATAGGTGTGTGGGAGACGGACATGATTTCCCATTGAACAACTGGGGGCATACACCTGTGATCCCAGCACTGGAGAGACTGGAGCAGGAGGATCTTTGAGTTCAAAGCCAGCCTGGGCTACATAGTGACACCGTGTCTCAGAACAACAACAACAAAAAAATGTAAAGGGGGCCAATAAGATGCCTCAGAGGGTGAAGACTCTTGCCCCACATGCCGGGAGATGTGAGTTTGGTCTCCAGATGTCATGTAAAAGCGTATCAATGCAGAAACACTGTTCTCCTCCTAAAAGGGGTTAAGAGTTTATTTGGGAGCCATCTTGAGTGACCATGGCTCAGAAACACATATCCAGGTCACCCCAGACTCCATGTTCCAACCTGGAGGTAGTTCCATGAAGTTTTATAGTTTTACAGAACAAAGATAGTCATAAATCCAGCAAGTTTAAAATACATTAGCAGGGCAAGGCAGTGGTGGTACACATCTTTAATTCCAGCACTTCGGAGGCAGAGGCAGCCAGATCTCTGTGAGTTCAAGGCCAGCCTTGTCTACAGAGTTAGTTTCAGGACAGCCAGGGCTACACAGAGAAACCCTGTCTCAACAAAACAAAACAGAAATTATATTGGTAGGAACATCAGAGAATCAGGTACATTAATTGGTGGAAGCTTTTCTACAGGCCCAAGATGTCATCTTAGCTTCTGGATGGCGGAAGCTAGTGATCAGCTAAGTTAATAGATTCTAAGAGGTTTTTATCCACCAGCCACGGGATGTTAGTTCTGACAGAGGTGGGAAAAGGACTGGCTGTTCTTGGGCTTCTTCCTACCTTTCCACAATCCAACAATCAGTCTCTGCAAACACAGAGTCTTTCAAGGAGTTCTAATTCACGACTCCACAATATAAATGACAATAATAATAATAATTACTATTATTATTATAACACTACTGAGAACACAGTGATGGTAAAGCAAATTATCTAGCACACACAAGGCCCTGGCTTCAATTCCCACAACAAAACAAACAAACAAAACATTTAAAAAATCTGTGAACACTCCATGTTATAAACAAGGTTAAGAAGGCTGAAACTATCCCAAGGGTTCGTGTGTAAATTTCCTTGATGGACAGTGTAGATGTCTCTGTAATTTACAATGGTCTAGGTACACCACAAGAGAGATTCCCTCCCTTCTCCTCCCTCCTTCTGACTTTTTCATTTATATATGTATTTATTCACTTTACATGCCGACTGCATCCTCCCCTCCTCTCAAAATCTCCCTCCAGACAGCCCCTCCCTCCAGACAGCCCCTCCCTCCAGACAGCCCCTCCTCCATCCCCCTTCCTTTCTATTCCTGGATACATAAGCATTTATTAAGTACCTACTGTGTGCAGAGCTGGAAAACAGCCCTAAGGGGAAAGGGCACTATCAAATTAGACAGCAAGTGAAGGAGGGGGGCTCTTTCCTGTAGGCCCATCCTCATTACCCATGATGCTTCCCAAGGCGGGCTATCACGGGCATGTGGCTACAGGCCCCTGGTGAGGAAGTGCATTTCCAGCCAGTGGGAAAGGGTCCTGAACCGTTTCCTCTGTGTCCTCCTAGCCTGTCCCAAAACAGCATCACTGATGTGGGTGCTTGCAAGCTTGCAGAAGCCCTACCGGCCCTAGCCAAGTCTCTCGTAAGGCTGAGGTGAGTGAGGTGCCCCGCTGAGTGGGCTGGGGAGACAGGGATGGGGAGGTAGGATGTGTGCGCGCGCGTGTGTGTGTGTGTGTGTGTGTGTGTGCGCGTGTGTGTGCGCATGTGTGCGCGCGTGTGTGTGTGTGGGTGCGCGTGTGTGCATGTGTGTGTGTGTGCGTGTGTGTGCCTGTGTGTGTGTGTGTGTGTGTGTGTGTGTGTGTGTGTATGTAGGGGGAGGAGGTGTAGGATTTTGCTGGCTGCAAGGTCTTGTAGAACATCACCACAGCCTTGGGGCAAGTCGCTTACTAGTTCCAAGTCTCTATTTCTTCATCTGTAAAATATGAACCATGTCAACAGATCATGTGTCATACTCCAGTCCTGTCTCTAGTGAGCAGTAGATGGTTGACCCTTACTGGTGGAAGAGTCAATTAGAGAGAGCCCTGCAGTGCTGGCTTCTGGGCTGTCCACTATCGCTCCAGCCAGTGCTTACACTGCCACCTTCTGGAAGAGCTCAGTGTAGCATCTCCAACTTCTAAATTCCTTTCGCCAAGTTTTTGGTACTAGGGGACTGAGAAAGGAACTGAATTTGGACCAGAGCCCCAGTCAGTCATTCATCTCAGCACTACCAGCTCTTGACTGACCAGCTGGGAAAGGATTTCCTTCCCTAAGTCATGCTCTAGGAAAGCTGTCTTCTATCCACCTCTACTGAGGCAGCTACTCCTGTATCCTTCCACCCAAGTCCTCTGTATGATGAATGAGTTATGCCCTGCACAATTCATAATGTATGTACTTGGTACCCACCTAACACCCTTAGATTGTGCTAAGTGTACAGTATTCCCTAACATGGGTGTCTTGGCGGGGGAGGGGGGCGTCGGAGGTCAGGAAAGTCTTGGTCACACAAGCAAGTGGGCCAGGAAGGCATACTAATACCAAACAAAGACAACATAAGAAAGGAAGGAGTTCTTTGGGCTCACAGTGTGAGGTACAGCCCATGATGGTGGGAAGGTGTGTGGCAGGAATGGGAAGGCGACAGTCCCACTGTGTCTGTAGCCAAGAAGCAGAGAGCAGTGAACGCTGGCGCTCAGCTTGCTTCCTCCTTTAAAGTTTTTAAAAATATTATTTGTTTATGCCTGTTTTGTCTGCATATACTCCTGTATGACAAATGCACACAGTACCTGCAGAGACCAGGAGATGATAGTAGGTCCCTGAGACTGGACTTACAAATGGCTTGTGGCTATCTCATAATAGTGAATACATTCATTCCAACTTCAAAGTCCCCAGAGTTTCCAGGTTTTCTTCTTCCCACGGCCAACACAGCTCATTTTCTGTGGTATCTCATATGGCCCTCAACGGTTTCTGTGTCACACTGTGAGACCTGGTTGACATGTAGCCAATAGCATAAACCAGCAAGAATCCACCTGCTCTCCCTATAGTGACCCCTCCTACCCATTCTACAGATGAACAATGTTGTGGTAGGAAACTGAGAGGCGTGCCTTTGAAACTGGTGAGCTGTTCCCTTATAGTCTCAATGCTTTGGGCTGACAAAGACCTCTCTCCCTTCCCTTCCCCTCTCCCTCTCCCTCTTACCCTCCCTCTCCCTCTCCCCCCTCCCCTCTCTCTCCCATCCCTTCCCTCTCCCATCCCTTCCCTCTCCCATTCTTTCCCTCTCCTTTTCCTTCTCTCTCCTTTCCCCTTCCCCCTGTCTTTCCCCTCTCTCCCCTTCTCCTTCTCTCCTCTCTTCCCTCTCTTTCCTTTTTTTCCATCTCCCCCTCTCTCTTTCCCTCTCCTCCTCCCCTGTCCCCTCCCTCCCTCCTGCCCTCCGGGGGTGCGTACATACATACATGTGTATGTGCGTATGCATGTGCGTGTCTGTGTTTTACTGAGTGTGGAACCCAAAGCTGCTTCATGTATACCGGATAAGCATTCTACTACTGAGCTATAACCCCAGCCTTCTTCTTAACTTTCTATTTTTGAGGGGCTGCGGAGATGGCAGTTAAGAACACTGGCTGCTCTTGCAGAGAACCTGGATTCCATTTCTAACACCCACATGGTGGCTCACAACCATCTGTAACCTCCAGTCCCAGGGGAATCCAATGCCCTCTTCTGGCTTCCTCAGGCACTACACCCATATGAAGCATAGTAGTACACAAAGGCAAAACACCCATACACACATATATTAAATTAAAAAAAAAAAGTTCTAATTTGAGACAGGGTCTCATGTATCCCAGGCTGGCCTGATGTTGTAATCCCTCTGCCTCAGTTTCCTAAGTAGCTGGAATTACAGGCCTGAGTCACCAAGCCCAGTGTACAACTTACTGCCCATGCCTTTATACCTTGAACTCACTGTGGAACTACATATAAGCGGCCTCAACAATCTGGGCCTCAATTAGTCCATCTGTAAAATGGAGCAGTAGGACCTGCCTGAGGATATAGATCCATTGGCAGAGTGCTTGCTTAGCAGGTATGAAGCCCGGGGTTCATTTCATCTCCAACACTGTATAAACTGGATGTGGTACACTGAAATCCAAGTACTCAGGAGGTAGAGGCAGGAGACTCAGAAGTTAAAGGTCATCTTTGACCACATACCAAGTTCCAGGCCAGTATGGGAATACATGGGACCTTGTCTGGATAGATAGATAGATAGATAGATAGATAGATAGATAGATAGATGATAGATAGATGATAGATAGATAGATAGATAGATAGATAGATAGATAGATAGATAGATAGAATGGCGCAGTAATCTCAGTTGAGAGTGGCTATTCCTGGGCCTGAGCTGGTCCAGCATCCCAACCCCTCTTCCTTCCTCTGTTGCCGGCAGCTTGTACAATAACTGCATCTGTGACACAGGAGCCAAGAGCCTGGCACAAGTACTTCCGGACATGGTGTCCCTGCGGGTGATGGAGTGAGTGTAGGGGCTGATTGGTATTTGGGAGGCAGAGGATCTCCCACCTGCACTGTGAGAAGGGTTAAGGTGGGAGTCGCCCCGCCTCAGGATGGGTCTCTCTCTTCAGTGTCCAGTTCAACAAGTTCACGGCAGCTGGTGCCCAGCAGCTGGCCTCCAGCCTTCAGAAGTGCCCTCAGGTGGAAACACTGGCGTAAGTCACATTGCCCCAGGGCTGGAGTATGTGTGTGTCTCTAAAATTCAAATCCCAACCCTGCCAAGCAGTAACTGATCCTGGGGTGACAAGTGATTTGCCTGCTGGCCTCAGGGATGAAGACAGTAATATCTGCAGACAAGACTTGTAACGGTTATGGGGTGGGGTTTCGTGAGGATGACTGCTCCCAAGTGCTGGAATTATAAGCATGCACTGCCACAACCAATTTCATGTGACATTGGGGACCAAAGTCAGGACTTGGTGTGTGCTAGGCAAGCAGGCCACCACCTGATCCATATCCCCACCCTAAACTTTTAGGACAACACTGTCACACAAAACACTCAATAAATATTTCATCAGGGCAAATCATATGAAATTGCCTAATCCAGTCATTCTTAGACCATAAAAAGTAGCAAATTCATCTTTTGTTTGTTTCTGAAACAGAATTTCACTTGAACTCATAATTCCCCTGCCTCATCCTCCTGAGTATGAGTCCTATAGATGCATGTACTGTGCCCAACTTTAAACTTATTAAGCCACATTGATGTTTCAGGTCCAGCACCTTCTGCTCTTCAGATGGCTTTGATGTGCACAGTTGTGCCCATCTTCTCAGATAGATGGTGGCATCTCTAATTTCTTTCTCATTGTGACCATAATACCTGACAGAGGCAAAAGAAAGGGGGAGGTGCAGCTGTGCTCACAGTCACAAGGCGTGCAGTCTATTGTGCCTGACTGCCGCTCCTCACATGCTGGCAGGGAGCAGTGAACTGCTAGAACTGGCCAGGCTATGGCCTTCAGAGATCCATCCACAGTGACCTACTTCTGCCATCCAGGCCCCACCTCCTAAAGATGCCACAGCTTTCAAGCTAGTGTCCCAAGTCTGGGGACATGAGCCTGTGGAGGATGGACCGAACTGAAACCGTAACAGGATCCGTTTTACAGTGAACGAGAATATGACAGAGTAGACGTTTGCAAGGTCACACAGCAAATCGGGACTGAAAGGGGGAGTCCTAACCTTCTGTTCTCCCCGTGTGGGTCCGTGCCTTGCCAGGTGGGGTGTGGTTAAGGCTCTAGACAGAGTGGGAGGCTTGTGGGCAGCTTGTCCTCGGGCGTCCTGCTACATTTCCACTAACCTGGCCCTGGGGTCCCATGTCCCCTCCACAGAATGTGGACACCCACTATCCCCTTTGGGGTTCAAGAACACCTGCAGCATCTGGATGCCCGGATCAGCCTGAGATGACCCTGCTGTACCCTGGACAAGGTAACCATGTTGGAATCCAGCAGGGAGACATCTGGGTCATTGTCCTTGTGAAGGGATGACTAAGGGCATCAAGCAAGGCTGGTTGGGTGTCCTGGATCCATGTGTCATCTGGAGCGATCCCGTCTCCAAATTGGCAGGTGTTCTCCAGACTTTGGGGACTTGGGCCAAGGAACCTCCCTGGGGTCAGACTTAAAGACTAGGGAAAAACTGGCTGAGCCAGTCTCCTACAATCCCCATCCTTGGCACTGGGAAGTCCTTCCTTTGAAGCTTTATGTCTTTCTTACTGCTGTGTCATCTTCACAGGAAATTAATAGATTTCCTGCCAGCAACATGAAGACAATTGTCCCCTCACCCTGTGTCTGTCCATTTTCTCCCCTGGCCTGTGTTGTAATTGTCCTCGAGCCTTTCCTTCAGTCCCCCACATTGTGACATCCCCTACTCCTCTGTCAAGGCTGTTTCTCTGGAAGCTCACGGAGTCACCTGCCTCTCCTGATCTCCCACAGCATGTACTCTGGGGACACTGACCACGCTGGACCTTGAACTGGGCGCTGTGGACTCAGCTCTTCCATGGGCCATGAGAGTCAGCTTCCTGTCACCCTGCCCTGCAGGCTCAGGGTTGGCCCTGCCTACATGAGGAATGGACACGTGTCTTGCTCCTCAGCAGGCTCCAAGACCAGCTCCAGGTTCTCACAGCACCAGGTAGGAAGACAGCCCCATGCTGTGGCTGTGAGCTGGCAGACAGGCCTGGGCTGCCTTCCTTGGGCTCACCCAGGAGGCCGAAGGCCTTCTCTTCAGTATTCCAGGCCAGAGTGAGGAACTGAAGCATCCAAGCGCCTGCCTGTCCAGGCCAGGGCCAGCCTGTAGAGAAAGCATGTCTTCCCACCGCTCCCAAGAGGGCCTCCTAGAGGCTCTGAAGATGCTGAGGACAATGCTGGCCTGCAGCCCTCTTGATGTGACAGGGAGCCAATGGCAGCTCTTTCTACTCGTGGTACTGTTTTCATAAACTTTAGGTCAAAGCTGAGTCAGGCCTGACCCAGACCTTGGATGTGAACCAAGAGCCGGGGAATGGTCCACTTCAGGGCTGCAGCAGGCAGTTCTGGCCTCCTTCACACTCACTACGCTTTAAATGCACCAGCTATACTCACTGGAGCTCTGGGTCTTGGTTTATCCCATGAGTTCCATGTGGGGACACCTTCTGTCCCATCTAATGCAAACCAAAACCAAAAACAGACAAACAAAAAAACAATTCACACTCCAGCAGCCAGCAGGCTCAGCAGTCCCCACCAACCCAGAAGTCAGGCTGGAATCATGCGTGTCTGGCATGTGACACTGTGGGACAGCTGGCTGGGGCTTGCCCTCCTTGTGGCATTATAGCTATGTCCCAGAGAGGAGAAGTGAGGAGAGCATCTGTAGACTATTCAGAACAGGTCTCCAGGCCACCCAGAATTGTTTGTACAACACTCTGCAGGCACCCATGTATGTACCATGCAACCCACCACTGCTGAGAGCGTCTTTGCTGCGGAGATTTTCATAGCTTCCAGAGATGCAGTGAAAAGTTCTTACTCCTGGGCCTGAGGACGAAAGCAGTGACCACTGTACAAAGTGGAGTGTTCTCTCCTACCGACCTGCTGCATCTTGAGAGTGCTGCATTCTGGGCATGCTGCATCCTGGGAGCAGCTCTGTAGCCAAATTGGCCGGCCTTAGCTGCAGCTAGCCCATTCCTGTTTTCTCTGGGACACCACCTTTGAACTCAGGCATCATTGATCCCTCCATCGGGACAATGACAGCTTGCTTTCTTGTCTTGGCAGACGGAGCTGTCTGCGTGGCTCCAGCATGCCCGCCCTGATGCCAGCAGGACAGGCGTATCCCAGGAAGTGGGAACTGGGCTAGAGGGCCTGGGGTCGGGGTGGTCTGCATGGCTGCTCGGGGAGATTCGTGGAGAGGCAGGTCCAGCTGCAGCTCAGGATTACCTTATGAACTGTCGGGACCTCGGGCTCAGGGGTGGCCCATGGAAGTCCCATTTGTGTGGCCACAGGGGACAGCACTGAGGCACTCTCCAAGCATCTGTTGTACCTGTCAGGAAGGAAGGCAGATCTGTACCTCTGCCTTTGGTCTGTCTGGAGATGCCAAAAATGTCTCTCACTACTCTGTGCTGATGGCTGCCATCTTTTAATGAGTTGAGTAGGTAAGGACTCACTATAGTGCCAGGGACATAGTAAATACCCAACAAATCTCACTGGGGCTTGATCCTGTGTGCTGGGAAGCATCTTAGGTGCTTTGGCTCCAAAGGACTGCACAACATCAACTCTTGGTTGAGCTGCCTGGTTCCAGGCTCCATTTTGTCACATATGCAAGGCAAGTTTCATCCGTGCCTTAGTTTCCTTGCAATGGGCAGAGTCACGGTATCTCCTCTCCTGGATTATATAAAGACTCAATGTGAAAACAATATTAATAAAACGGGTCAGCAAAATGGCTGAGGGGGTACAAGCCTGGTGAGCTGGGCTTGATCCCCAGGACCATACTATGGAAGGAAGAACTAAGGATCACACATTCTCCTCTAAAGTTTCTGTGCACTGTGTACGCACTGGAACTACAGGTGGTGGTGAGCCTCTATATTGGTGCTGGGAACAGAACTTGGGTCCCCTGCAAAGGCAGCAAGAGCTCTTAATCACTGAGCCATTTCTCTAGTCCATTTAAAAAAAAGAATTAAGAGTTGAAACCAATGCCTGGCACAGGGGTTCTAATGCCCTCTTGTGGACTCCGTGGGTACTGTGTTCACTTGGTGTACATATACACATAGGCAAGACACTCATACATATAAATATATCTTGAAGACCACAAAGGTCATGTGTGGTGGCATACACCTCTAACCCCAGATCTCTGTAAATTCAAGGCCAGCCTGGTCTATGTTACACAGGGAGGCTCTGTATTAACAAATAAAAACCCAGTACACAGCTCAATGCGGGAGCTCCCAGCCTTCCTTTTGCCCGTGTGTTATTCCTGCCTGGAATGTTCCTTCCCAGATTCTGTGTGGCTGACTTCCTGCAGGACTCTGCAGGACAGACTCTCCTGCAGATCTGTCTGTCTCTTTCCTCTGTGCCCTGCTGTCCATCTCTACCTCAATATTTTCTTTCTTGAACTTTTGTTGTCTGCCTGTGTAGGATGTGAGTTCTAGGGAAGCAAGGGTTTTGTCTGCTCTGATCATCCTTAGGCTCTCTATACCCAGCCAGGAGCCATGCCCACAGTAGGAGCTCAGTAAATGAGAGAAGGGTGGCTAATCCTCAGCACAGCCTCATGTTGGGGCTTTCTGTAATGTGCACTGAGGACACACGTGAACAAGATGCTCTAGGTTCCTGTGCTGGAAATCTTGCATCTTAGCAAATTTAAGACACCTCCTAGACAGAGCTGCTAGGTGTGGCTGGCCAGGCCATGCACTGCACGAAGGCTCTGGGGCAGTGAACACTTGAGGGTTGCACCAGAGTGGGGCCTGGAGTAGAACAGCAACAGTTTAGAGACCCTTTTGGTAATTAGCATGGTGCCATCTCAGGGATAGGTAGGTTGTGGGTCCTATGTTAGAAAGTTCATAGGGAAGGCTTTGTTGTGACCCCTGTGAAGGATCTCTGTGGGTATGGGCGCGGCATGCTAGAATAGGTCACCAGGCCCCACCTGGGATGCAAAAAAGCAGTTCTGGGGGAATTGGCAGGCTGCCCATGCAGTATACTTTCAATCTAAGCCTCTCCTTGTGCCCTGACTTTCCTCCAGGCCTTTCTCCAAGGGAAGATTTCTCTCTTCCTGTTATGTGTGACTGTCCTTGGAGCCAAAAAACCCTGCCATTTTGGGAAATTCAGCTAAACAAAATTAAAAATTCCATGTTGCAAAAAATCTCATCCCATCATGGAGGCGAGGAGGGCCACAGAATCCTCCCATGAGTACCCAGTCGCTCACATCTGTGGTATGCAATGTGCCCGAATTGCACATGGCTTTGGGGCAGGGCTACAACTATATTCTAAACGAGGTTAGACTAGGGAAGAGAGCTCCATTTTTTGTGGGTTTTGGAGACAGGATCCAATGTAGCCCAGGTTGGCTCCTAACTGGACATATAGTTGAGGATGACCTTGAACTTCTGATCTTTCTGCTTTCCCCTTTAAACTTCTGATTCTTTTGTCTCTGCCTCTGGAACGCCTCCTCACTGTGCCTATTTTATGTGATGCTGGGGCCTAGGGCTTTGTGCAAGCCAGATAAGCATTCTGTCAAATGAGTTATTATATCCCCAGCCTCTTACACATTATATTAAAGCAAGGTGTCACTATATAGCCCTGGCTGGCTTGGAACTCACTTTTATGACCTGGTTAGACAGGTGGGGCAAGGTTAGAGATCTGCTTGCCTCTGCTTCCTGAGAGCTGGACTGAATGTGTGTGCCACCACATCCACTCCCTCCTCCTAAATGGAGGTGTAGCCTAGGCTTTATGTGTGGGAGAGCACACAGCCACCTCTGTGAGACTCAGGACCAAGCTCCCCAAGACGACCTAGCTTTCCACCAGAACTTGGGCTTTGAGAAGATAAGAGGAGGCAGCCTTTCTAGAGTGAGTTCCCTAGTCTCTGATTGCATCTCCTGCCAACTGTCAACCATGATGCCCCATCTCTAAAATTCAACACACACATATGCACACGCACACACACACACAGAATAGCAGCAGCAGCAGCAACCAGACAAAGCAAAGGCGATTGGATTTGCTTACATTTTTTTAATGAAATAAGTCAGCCTCTAAGTATTGCTTTTACAGGTTTATGGAAATCAAGGATCTACATCATTCACACTTTGCACACCACTCACACTTCCAAAAATAGATTTCTAGCCAGAGACAGCATGGCTTTCTCCAGTGCAGTATCTCAGTTCTGTCAACCTGGAGAGGTTAAACCCTGCCTGGGCCCTGGCACAGCCCTCTTCAGAGTGACTCCCTGAAACTGTGATCCACAGTCTTGGGTCTGAAGTGTTCCCAGGCTTAAGGTCGCCTGGCACCACACGATGCTGACAGAGCAGCCTACGTATGAGTCCCTTTACCACTTCAGCTCTCCATGTCCTTCCCAGGGGTTAAGTGGGGGAGGCAGGTGCAGCTGGGGGTGAAGTGCAGAGAGGTGACATCTGGTTGGGTTCCTGTAAACATCCATCACAAAGGTGGCGAGTCACAAGCCAGATCCAGGACAGCGAAGAGCCAGCTGGCAGGCGAGGCCTTCGGAGGTCCTGGCAACTCCCCATCCTGGCACTGAGTCCTCACTTCTCCTGGCAGACGCCTGGGTTGGGGCAGGAACCCGGTTGTTGGCACGAGCAGGCCTAACCAAGAAGACAAAGGACAGTTATCACCAGGGCCATGGGACCTCAGGCTGGGCTGTCTCCTGCAGCTGGGGTGGGCGAGGAAGACTTGCTCCAACCCTTTGGTTCTAGACTCTCCAGAGCCCCATGCTCAGGCTGGGGAGACTTTTCCTCTACCTTCTTCATTCCTTATAAAAACAATTTCTTAATTTTTAAAAATGTATCTATCTTTCAAAAACTTTATCTGTTTTTTACTTTATGTGCATTGGTGTTTTGCCTGCATGGACGTTTGTGTGAGGGTGTTAGAGCTTGTAGTTACAGACAGATGTAAACTGATATATGGGGTGCTGTGAATTAAACCCAGGTACTCTGGAAGACCATTCAGTGCTCTTAACTGCAGAGCCATCTCTCCAGACCTTTAAGAATAACTTTTAATTCTTTGACAAGTTCATACACGTATATAATGTAGCAGGATATTTCCTCTCCTTTCCTCTTTCATACTGTCTTTCCTCTATTCCTCTTGCTTTCCACGTTAGCATCTCTTTTTACGGTGACTGAGTGTGACTGGGGTTGCCTGCATGGACATGATTGAGGAATCGTTTGCAGGAACTGACTAGCAGCTACACATCACTGAAGAAAATGAGTCCCACTCCACCAGCAGCCATTAGCCCACTAACCGTCACCAGTACCTTAGCTAGCACAAGGTCCGCTCGCACCTCAGTACCTTAGCTAGCACAAGGTCCGCTCGCGCCTCCTCCCCCAACCCATTTCCTATCATTTCCTGCTGGTTTTTGTTTTTGAGGCAGGGTCTCATGTAGGTAGCCCAGGATAGCCTTCAATTTCTGATTCTTCTGCCTCCACCTCACAAGTGCACTGCTAGAAAAGGAACTCAGGGTCGCTGGAGCCCATGCTGAGTGAGCATTCTAACAACTGAGCTACATCCCTAGCTCCCTGGGGCTTGTTTCCAGTTCTTATCAAGGAGTTTGCTTCATGTCTATGATTCTGGAGAACCATGGTACTTTTCCATGGTAAAGGAGGGCTGGCCAGGTGCTTAGAACGAGGAAAAAGATGCTATAGTCAGAGAAGGATCTCAGCCAAAAGGGAGATCAAGTGGGGGCAGGGAGTGGGCAGTGCCTCCCATCTCACTGGGAAAGCGCTGTGCTTACAGGAAGGCAGCCAGTCAACTTTGTGCCCCTACTTGGCTCTTCTCTCTATGACACAGCATCGCTTGTAAGGCCTGGCCCTACGTCAGGTTGTCTCCTCCAGTCTCCTCAATCCCACGTTTAGCTGTCATCAGCATCTCTGTAACAGTGAGGTACCCAAGTCCCCCTACTTTTAGCCCACCTCAGACTCTTCCTTCTACAAACAGCCCTGAGCATCATGAGGACTGATCTCTGTGAAACATGCGTGTGTCCTGCTAAATAACATTCAGGAGTGCGTGTGGTGATCATCGGTGTCACAGAGTTAGCAGTAGCTCTAGCCCCCAACCAGCAAAAGCTGGTAGCACCTCCAGTCCATCATGTCTGCTAAAACTGTCCCCACCTACTTCCGAGAGCCAATAAGCAGGCATAACCATGTCCACCAGGAACCGCACCTCTCCTCATTTTACAGGTTTCAAACAGAGGCTTAGGGAAGCAGGGGAGTTTCCTGCAGTTCCACAGGTAGTGCAGGCAGAGCTGGCACTGCACTGGGAACAAATGGGGACAATCTCAGTCAAGGTTGCCACTGCACCTGACACTCTTGTCATGCAACATGTCTCATCCTTCTGCCTACCTTCCCCAGCCCTGGGTACCCTGATCCCGAGACCTATGTCCTGTTTCCAGAGAATGACTGGCCAAGAGAGTTAATGACTTCCACAACAAGCTCTTCCCACCAGTGACTGCCAGGAAGGTAGTGTACTCACACCCTAGGCCCCTCACTGGTACCTGGGGTGACATCAAGGTACCCCATTCTGGCTCCTGGGGCTTCTGAGCAGGACTGAGCCCCAGACTACAGTAGTAGTCTGCTTAGTGCCCACCAGTCTATCTTGCTGGCCTCACTTCCCACTCTCCAGAGCATGGAGTTCCTGAGATCTCCTCCCAAATAAGCCCAAGGGCTCATGGCTATCTCCACCCTCCTTACCAGCCCATGAGTTGATATTGTTAAGTCTGTTGGACAGATAAAGACACCAAGGCCCAGAAAGCATAAGATACTCATTAAAAGATGCTCAGCTCAGAAGTACCGAAAGCTGCCTAGCTGTGGTGCCCTGGCCCTGTGTTTCCAGCACTAGGAAGCCAAGTTCAGAGAATGGCAGCTTAGAGGCCAGCCTGGGCTACAGGGTAAGACTGAGTTTGAGGCCAGGCTGGACCATTGAGTATGAGCCCACAAACAGAGCAAGTGTACTTCCGGTTCCTGTTCACATCCATGTTTTACATGCTTGGGCCCCATGCATGTTTACAAGCTAGAAGACAGGGCCAGGCACTGAGACAAGTTGTGAGCAACTTTAGCTTGAAGCAACCCTCTCAAAGATAGGACGAGGTATGAGCACCGCTGGAGATCCACACAGGGCTGCGCTGCACAGGAAGGGCACCCCACAGAAGACAAGGCATATCGTCTCCTGTGGTTCTCAACATGGCGGGGGTTGGAGCTATATGCTGAAGTTTCTCCCATCCTCTACCAGACTTATCTGCTGACGGCCAACTGGGAATACGCTCTACCACGTCAGGAACCTCCTCTGGTTCCCACTGACCCTCCCACAGACAGGCCCTCCACCCATCTGTCCCTCCCACCTGCCCACAGACCCTGTGGGAAGCAGGGGCTGTAGCTACATTGGGGCTTCCAGAAAGGCTTTCTGAGACTCTTGTCCCATCATACCAGAGCCTACTTATGGTCTCTCTTCCCTCCAACGAGCCTTGGGGAGACACAGTAGTCTTAGAAGCCTTCATGTTCAGAAGCCTGCAGCAGAATAATTCACTGAGATTCCCCCTCCTGGGTGTCCCAGCCCAGGGCAGGGATGGGACAGGGACCACTGAGGACGCCTCACTTCCGACCAGTCCTGTGACTGCACAGGAGTCCCAGAAGCTGCTGGCCTCACTGAGCCTTTTGTCCTCAGTAGGTGCTGCTGAGTCTGTTAGTGATAGCCAGTGATGCCAGGTGCCTGATAACTCAAGTTCCTTGCCTTTAAAGCTGTTTTGTTTTTTCTCTTAAAAGCCAATTTAAGGACTGGAGAGATGGTTCGGTGGTTAAGAGCATTTGCTACTCTTGCAGGGGACCCAGGTTCTGTTCCCAGAACCCACATGGTGGTTTAGAATTACCTATAACTCCAGTACCATAGAATCCAATGCCCTCTTCTGACCTCCATGGTCCCCTACATGCACATGGACTCACATAGGAACAGATGCATAATAAATAATTTTTTAAAGTTGACTTAAAGCAAACAACCATATCAAAAAATAATTCAGGGCCAGCAATGTGGCTTAGCTGATGTATGTACTTGCTACCAAGCCCGATTTCCTTAGTTTGATCCCAGGATCCACACGGTAGAAGGAAAAACCCAACTTTTACAAGTTTCTCTCTGACATCCACATGTGCACCATGGCATACCCATGCTCACCCCTGCATACATGAATAAACGTAAAAAAAATAAAAGGTGAAGGTGGTCGGTGGGAAGCAGAAGACAGCCTTCTCAGGGCACGGACTATGTTTCTCTTATAGACAACCTTCTAGAAACCCACGGCACACCCCACTTTCTCCACATACCCAAAATTGCCCAGTTCTGCAGACATCTGGGATCTCTGTGCTAAAGGCAGACTGTGTAGCATGAGGCCACCTCCCTGGCAGCTGCAAGGACAGAAGAGGAGAGAAGCTTCCAATCTCCACACGGGTCAGTCCTAGATGAGAGCTGGCGTCTCAGGCCTGGATTCCACCCCCACGCTGGCTATATGTGCTCATTACTGTGGGCCATCTAGAGTGTCTGCAGCTGCCCCGATTCCCTTCATTTGCCTGCCCAGGAGCTCCTGTGGCTGTCACACACCACCTGGACATTACGCATTCGGACAGGCTGAGTATCCCCTCTAGAACACCTGGCCCAGAGTGTTTTGGCTTCTACGCTATTGGAGTACAGTAATGAAACGCCTGGAGGGACTGAAGCAAGTCTAAAATAGATTTCATCCACCTGCCAGGGCATGACTATAGATGTCCGAGGACAGTGTTCACGAGACAGGTCTCCTTCTCCCGGGTATGTCCTGGGGTTCAGGTCACTAGGTTTGGCAGCAAGTGCTTTTACCTGCTGAGCCATCTCACAAGCCCCAACAATGTAGTTTTGTGCAACTTCTTTTTTTTCCTCTCTGAGACAGTAGCCAGGGCTGGACTAGAGTTCTGATTTCTGCCTCAGCCTCTCCAGTGCTAAAATCAGAGGTACTAGCCACTTCATCCGGCCCAATTCAAGAGTATTTTTATTGTTTTGATGTAGAGTCTTAATACAACTATTGGCTGGCCTCAAATTCATGATCTTCTTGCCTTTGTCATAACTATGAAAAAAAAAAACAGCACTTGTAATTTAAAAAAAAAATGTAATGGGGTAATGCCAAGGAAACAGTGAAGAGGACGCCTATAGCCAGAGAAAGAACAAAACAGGAAGGCTAGGGCACCGTGAGCCTGACTCCTCTGGTACCTCACAGGGATTCCTCCAGCCCAGCGCCTCACTTTGGAAATGCTGGGCAATTGTGGATGGCTCATAGCTGGGCGTCTAAGGTGAGTCATCAAACTGCCCCAAGCCTCAGTTTCCCTCAGTACCTAATGAAGCCTTCTAAGTGACCATCCAAAGGTGACACAGGGAAGCTTTGTGGGAGAGGCAACCAGTTCTAGCCTCTCAGCCAAGGTCCCTTCCAGGCAGGAAGCCTGGGGAGGAGGCCTTCCTTTATGACAGCTGCAAAGGCGTCGGCATCAGTTGACTCTCAGTGGGTACCAAGCATTGCCAACCCCAGTCTGCTTCACAGGAAGTCCATAGTGATACTCACTTCTGGTTACTGGCTCCAGAAGAACACGGAACCCCAATAAAGGGGGGGGGTTTCTGGGGTAAGGGTCCCTTGGTCTAACGCATCACATGGTGCTGCACTCATCATTAACAAGTTACCAAAACATCACTATCAACCCACTCAATCACTGTAAGCCCCCAGGCACGTTCCACTATTCCCAATTTACAGACAAGGAAACTGAGGCTTGGGGGAGGTGATGTCACTCATCCAAAGTGTTGGTAGAACTGGGGTTTAAACCCCAAATGTGTAGGACTACAAAAACTCTAGAAAACAATTTTAGAGGTCATGTGAAATGGCTAGAATAATCACACATCAATACCAAACATACAGATTGCTCTGCGGCTCTAGGTCAAGCCTCACTACTTCGCAGAGAAAGTTCTAGGTTGGTGCTAGGAACCTTCATCTGGTAGTACCAGCTCAATACACAGAGCAGGCCCAGCTCTCACCATTAGCTGACTTTACTACTTGGCCAGAAGTTAATGACTTTGGAGGGTGGTTTCCTTCTCATGGTGACATAGCATTCACTTAATAATAAATCCATGTAGTCTGGGGGTGCACCTCAGTAGTAGGATATGTGAGGCACTGGGCTGGATACTCAGAAACACCTAAAAAATGGTAAAATACAGTCTAGAGGGCCTGGGGCTATAGTTCAGTTGGCAGAGTGCTTTCCTAGTGCTCACGATGAGCTGGTTTCCATCCACCTACACTGGGCACTGTGGTACACATCTACACGCACAAAGCAGGTGCAGTGACCTACAGTGACTACAGCCCCAGCATTTGGGAGGTGGAAGCAGCAGGAGAGGAAGCCCAAGGCCACCGGAGGCTAGACAGGAAGTACAGGGCCAAAGTCCACATGAGAAAGCATGTGGCTTTTTTGTGGCTGCTGTTCTTTAGTTTGTTTGGATTTGTTGTGGTGGTTTGTTTTTCGAGACAGGGTTTCTCTGTATAGTCCTGGGTGACCTGGAAATCAACCTGTGTACCAGCCTGGCCTTGAATTCAGAGATTCTGCAGTTCTGAGGTTAAAGGTGTACTCAACTTTTGTTTTGTTTTTTTTTTAAACCAAGGAAGCACTAAAACAGGCATTATTTACCTTAAACTCTAAAAGGAAAAGCAGTAACTCAGCGGTGGAGAGACCTGGCTCACATCACTAAAGCTAACAGGACCAGCATGGTACAGGGGATGTTTGGCTTTCAGAATTCTGCACTGAGGACACACTCTCTTCCTGCCAAGATCACATCACCTGAATGGAATCCTGAGCTCAAATAGATACCAGACAACCCCAGGCAGAGATAGCCCACAAATGCCACACCAGCCACTTGCATACTGCCAATGTCACACCAAGACATAGACAGGCTGAACAGTTGGTCGAGAATAAAGAAAGCAGTGACCTTAAATCTAGTACTTTTATCATTAAAGGACATTCCTGGGACAGATAAAAAGATGTGACTAAAGCCATAGAGCAGAGTGCTCCCAGGTCCTGTCCCTGCCCACTTGCTGATTTCAGTCAGGCGTGGTGACACCCAACTGTAATCCAGTGCTTGGGAGATAAGAGCAGGAGGACCAGGAGTTCTAGGCCAGTCTTGGGTTATAGAAGACCCCATCTCAAAAAGACAATGACATTTTGCTGGCTTTGACAAGGACACTACAGATACCAAGTAGATCCTTGTTTTAGGAACATACAAACCAAAATATTCAGGAACAGAGGAACATCATGTCTGTAATGCACCCACAAATGGTTTCGAACACGACTGTCCACATGTGTATGTGAGTGTTCATGTGCATGCATAGGTGTGCTCAGAGAAGAATGTGAGCTTGCACTTAGCACATGAGCAGAAATACTGGCTGGCAGGCAGCCTCTGCTGAAGGGAGCACAGGCATTCTTTATAACAATGGTCATGGGAGGCTCTTCTGCTTCCTGGTGCCCACTGTGCTGTGCAGGAGACACAGCCACCTTATTTGGCTTTGGTCTCTGGGCCCCTCACTTTCCAGTCTTCAGTTTCCTTACTTGCAATGCTGAGTTAACTCAGCAGGCAGAAGGCAGGAGCAAGATCCTGAATTTAAGGCCAGTTGGAGCCACACAGTGAGATCCTGTCTCAAAAATAAAAATAAAAAGTCTGTGTCTTTCAGTGTGATTTTGATTTCCCACATGTAGCCGGTGTTCTCAGAAGTTCTAGGATGAAGGCAGCAGTAATATCTGACAGAAGCCCCATGTTTTTCATTCAGCTAAACAGGTCCCAGGGCTGAGAGGAGAACATGATATGGAGGCCCCACTTTTCTGACTGGAATCTCCAGGTATGAGGCCATTGGCATCTCAGCTGGCCTGGAGACTTCCTCTTCCCAAAGACCACTGAAACACTGTGATCAGGGGCCTTTCTACGTGTCTCTCGCGCCAGAGCAGGGCATTCCCCTGTCCCCACACCTCTAGACCATCTTGCCTTAGCCTCCTTCCTGTTGTTCTGCATCTTCCCTCACCCTGATCCAGGCTACCAGTAGGTCTCCCACAACTGGGATCTGAATATATGGGTGTCCCCAGGGAAGTAATGGGCATTCCAGTTGTCCAGTAGCATGCTCTGCTGGGTACATGCTGACAGTACAGGTTATAGTCTGACAAGGCAGGCTGAGAAAGCAGCCATAGTCCCCAGGTGAGCCATCTGAGGCCTGAGAGGAAGCCAGATCAAGGAATCGGTCACCCTTACACCACAGTCACACTGTACCAGGCCACACAGACTCTGACCAGAGATGGTGTCTCTTCTACAGTACCTCATATGCCAAGGGAGGTCCAGTAGGCACTCGCCACCTGTTATGACTCTAAAGTAATTAACCAGGCTAAGGTGCCTCTCTAACCTGTCAGTAACCCCCACTCCAACTCCGACACACATACATACCCCACTATGGTTCCCAGGCCATGAAGGAGCTCCATCCTCTACTCCCCCGGACCACAATGAACACTGTAGAAACTGCAGAGGCCACTTTCCAGAGCTCTAGAACCAGTGCCCTGGGGACTATGGGCATGAGAAAAAGTCTCTAGGGCCCAGATAGGCAGGAAGACAGAGGGGTGTGTGTGTGTGTGTGTGTGTGTGTGTACACCAATGGGCATGTTCTCTGAGCCCATTTTGTTAGTCTCTGGTCCTTTTGTTAGTCATGGGACATGAATATTAATACACAAGGCAGGTGAGGTCAGATGATTCGGGCTGCACCTACCTGTCTATAACAGTGGTTGATGTTCATGGACCAGTTACCATGCAGGGAGGTCCAACTTTCTGTCCTCTCAACAAGGCAGGTTTTCATTACCCCTGTTTTGTAAAAGAGGCCACCAACATGTGGAGTTAAATGGCATTCCAAAGACTGGCTATGCCTGCAATTTGAATCAAGAAAATCAGTTTAGAGTTACTGCTCTTAAACTTGACTGTACATTGGCTCTTCAAATAGGTGCTCAGTAAACATATCTTCTTCTTGCTGAGATTCCCCCAGACCCTACTGCCTTGTGTGTCCTCTGTTTGTGTCTCCTGGTCTGGCTTGTTAGAACACAGGTGCACATAAGCATGAGTGGGAATAAGCAGCCCTGGCCAGGGGCTCCTGTGTATGGAAAGGGCCAGGAGGCAAGGCTGGGTCACTTCACATCAGGTTGCTGCCAGTCATCCCTCCTGCATCCACTGGGCCTTGCCTTTCTGGCCCTGGGACTAAGGTCTTCTAGCTTGGATTGGGGGACAGGTAGTGTAGTGTGTGGTTTCATTAGTCTCCAGCCCTTGAAGGGGGACTTTCTATATCCCTTATCCTCCCTAGGGTCAGCCAAGAGTGTCTCAAAGAAATGCTTCTTGGTGATGCAGCTCACGCAGCATTTGTTGCGCAGCATGTCAAAGCATTTGGGCTCTGGGTTTGAGCTTAGACTATGCCAATGTTTTCAGTTGGAAGCAGGAATGTTTCTGCTGATATGGTAAGAAGATAAAATAAGACCTTTTCACCGAGTTATACTGCCTGAGAGTCTACTTGGCTCAAAGACAGAGATGTAACTTGGGATCACAGGGGCTGAGCCTAGACTCTGAGAGAAAAAGGAGGGCCAATGCTTATTGTATGACTACACATGAGAACATACAGAAGGCCTAGAAGCAGGACTGGTCTGTGGTCTCTACTCAGGTCTTTTCCAGTCACCTGTCACCTCTGGCTGGATAACTAACAGCGCCCCCACTGGCCTTCCTGCTCCTACACTTGTCCCTTGAGCTCATTCTGCTCACAGCTGCCAGACATCTGACAGAACATGAGCTGGACTGTCATGTCCTGCCTAGGACCGTCACTGGACACTAAACTGCTCTTGGCCATGCCATCTATGGCCCACCACTGACATCTTTTACAAGTTTGTATCTCTCGCCTCCCTTTGGCTGCTGAATAAACCACACCTTTCCTGACTCGGGGTATGGGTACTAACAATTCCCTCTACCCAGACTGCTTTGCTCCAGAGGTCTCTGTCTGGCTCCTTCTATAAATTCTGGCCTCGGCTCATATTTACCATCCCTTCAAAGAGGTCTTCCCTCACTCTCTAACTAAAGCAGCCTGTGCCTATTCTGCTCTTGTGGTCACTTCACACAGAGCATCTGCCAGAGGCCAGCTGCTGTACAAACAGCGAGCACAGCAACATAGCCTCTAAACTTCTCACAGCTCACCATGTGTCTAGGTGTCCACTGTGTTCCTCATGGAAGGCCTGAACGCCAGGTCCCATCTGCCTCTGCTCGCCGACTACTCAACAAATAGGTATTTGTTCCATGGGAGAACGGATGCCATGCTGGGAGGAAGGCCCTGCCTGGCACTTGGCCCCTGTGCTGATACTACTAAACTTACTAAAGAGCTCTTCAAAGACATCACTGCTTGTCCCCAAGTATGTCCCGCTTACTCTGCATTATTTCTACAACAGACAGACTATGTGTCCCCAAATTCCACTGTTGAAAGCCTGCAGTGACAGTGTCATGAGGGTGGAGCTCTCTAGTGGGATTAGTGCCCTTTGGAAAACTATCCTGTTTGAGCCATGGTATACTGGCACAGCGCCACAAACTAAGACACTCACTTATGGCAATGTTGGCAATCAGGTAACACAGGAGAGGAGGGGCAAATGCCTCCTTGGGGTGACATTAGTATCTATTATTGAAAAGGAGCCCCTGCCCACCAGCTCCATATGCTTCTTCATTGCCACTCAGACTCTATGGCCTGCCCAATCCTAGCATTCCCCAGCTGGGATGCCTGCCAGGGCTAGGCCTGCCCCATGACACCTCACTGGACCCAACAGCTTACCTGGCACAAACATTCTCTCAGACAGACCAGCTGTCCCCTCTCCCTTGTTGGGAGACTTTAGCCGGTCTTATTCCTCCTTCTCTAACATATAACAAAGCTTTTTGGCAGAAACCCAAAGGCAGGTCTTCGGTGCGACCACCCTGTGGTTCCTTCTGCTGACCCTAGGGTCCTGGGAGGCCTTGCAAATGCTGCAGACAAAGCCAGCACCAGCTCAGAACTGCCTGCCTGCTCCAGAGCAGCAGCCTAAGAAGCTGACAGCCTCTGCGGATCTAAGCTGCGGTACCAACAACCCAGGATCTCTGAAACCTGACTCCAAACACAGCAGCAGAAACACTGCCAAAAGGAAGCACTGCGTTGTTTGCTGAAGGTTTCCATTCTCACAGGCTTGGCCAGAAGCCCAAGTTTAACTAGTCCCTCAAGAGGCCATAGAACAAAAGTAACCAGTGCCCCTTATGACACCAGTCTATCCTTTCAGGACAAGTAAGCATTGCCCAAAACCCCAAGGTCACCAACAAGACAGGCTAAGACTTGGGGGAGGAGCTGATAGCTCCACCTCAAAAGGTTTTGGGTATAGAGCTTTTGCACAAGCCATGGGATAAATTGCATGATAACTCCAAATGTTCACGTAGCCCGAGTCCCTTTCCTTGGGGGAAGTCTCTCCAACAAACACTACTATTCCTAGCATCTGAGTTAGATCCAGAGGAGGTGGCCAGAGAAATCAAAGGCTTAGAGGAAGGATGAGTCTGCCCTGAGGACACCACCTTCTCCCTCCCTGCAATACAACCCCATCTCAAGGGCACTTACGGGCCTCTTCCTGGGGTCCCATCCCTGTCCAGATGGTGCCCCCAACCAGTGGCAGCGGCATGATACGGGCGGCTGGTCCAGGCCAAGAGTTGCGGATGGTGGAAGGCAAGTGGGAAACGGTAATCAAGACCTTATTCCAAATATCCATCGAAGACGTCGAGCTCTGAGTCGGCATCGTAAAGGCCAGAGCCAGGGTCTGAGAGAACACCGAGGTCCACCAGCGCCTGGTCCAAGTCCTCGGGCAGGAAGACGAGGCCCACATTGAGAACGATGTATTCCATGAGGAAGGCGTAGTAGAGGATCAGCACATTGACGAAGAACAGGCCCACGTAGAACATAGAGGGCAGCAGCGGTGGCTGCACGTACGAGACCAGGGGGCCCAGAGCGTCCAGATGGGCTGCGACCCGGGCGCCGGGCATGCAGGGGCGGGCGATGGGGGCGGCGGCCAGGCGATCCCAGCGACCTCAGCCGCTGCGGCGCCTGGGCGGCCGGCGAAGGGGCAACTTGGCCATCCAGGGGGCGCCCCGGGGCTCGGTGGCGGCAGCGCTGGGCCCCGGGTGGCCTCTGAAGACACTCCTTGACCCCCGAGATGCTCAGGGCCGAGTCACGGAGCCGCGGGATCGGGATGCCGGCCACACGGGCCGCTCGCCCCTCAGGGCTCCCCTAGAAGTGGCCCGCGGCTCGCTTGGTGCGCCGCGCTCGCGCGCCCTCGCCGCAGCTCAGAGTTGAAGCCGGGTCCCCGCTGCTGTCTCCCCAAGGCGCTCCTCAGGCCCCGTCGGCGCCCCCGCAGGCTCACTATCCATCGCTGCGGCCGCGGCGTCGCTCTGTTGCTTCCCAGCACCGCCTATCCAGAGACTGTTCGTTCATTGGCCAGTCGCATGCTCGCCCGCATTCATTGGCTAGCTCAGTGCTCCACGCTTATTGGCTCGAGCAGTCCGGGGACGGGTACTCCTTTGCTCCTCCCCATGGGAGGTGCTCCAGTCTCTAAATTGCTCCTCTGCAGTTGGCACTCCCTAGACTCTGCATCTAGAACTTAGGTATGGTGCGTCACCTTTTTGGAACTTAGTTTTCCCCCTATTAAATGATGCCAGGTAGAAAAGGAATGCTGGAAATTCCACTGAAAATCTTATATATTCCCAAAGGGCTTTTGTTTTTTTCTTTTTCACGGTATGGTAAGAAAAATCAATCATTGAGTGCCTTTGACAGCGGCATTATAGAGTTCCGTGGCACGTGGATGGAGAGCACCACAAGCAGGTCAGATCTTCTGCCAATATGGTTGCTTATTGTTTCCTTTTACGTTGCAGTCCATGTTTAAAAAAAAAAACCAATAATGCTAAGTATATATATCTGCTCAGAGTTCTCTGTTCACAGAACATCCCTGTGCTTCGTTAGGAGAACGTTTGCTCAAGGTGTCTTCCATCCGGGTTTAAACAGCCAGAGATCAAAACCAAGGTCTTGTGTGTGCAAGATGTAGGCAAGATGTAGCACTACCTCTGAGCTACATTCTCAGCTTTTGAAAAAAATATCAAAACCCCCAAATCCCACAAAACCAGCCTCTGGCTGGCCTGAAATTGGCTATAGACCAGGCTGCTCCAGACCTCATAGAGTTCCATTGCCTCTGTCTCCTGAGTGCTGGGATTAAAACTTATCCTCAACTCTTAAAAAGACCTTTAATCTAAGGTCATACTTAACTTTATAGGAGCTGGACAAGGCAATATAGTATGTTCCCTTTTCACAGATGAGGAAACCAAATCCCATAGAAATAGATTCTTGAAGCTGCTGAATCTGGGTCATTTTTTTGGAGGTTAGACCTGTTCTTCTTCTCTCATGACTCACTTGGGAAACCATTAGCTTTATGCTGGCCTCCATTTCTCTAATTCTTGGAAGCAATGCAAACCATCATTTATTCACTCTATCAATATTCATTTAAAAACCTGCTGTGTTGTTCTGGGCCCTGGAGAGAACATTGGTTGACTAATTCTTTTCTTAGGACTGTGGGCTGCCACAGAGTTATTAGCTATGAGCTGTAGAGATGGTAAATGAGCAGACGTGAGGCACAAAGTCTTGCATTCCACAGAGGTCCCCACTTCCAATCCAGGAAGGAAATCCAGGTGTGTGTGACCTCACATGGAGAGCTTAGAGTTCCTTCCTTTCTTACTGAATTAGTTGGGAAATGGCATGGATTTTAGATGACAACCAGAAGAAACCTCTGAAAGTACATTGTGGTTAGCTTTACATCTGTGTTTACATTGCTGCTTACATCTTTACAAAATGTTTTAAGACTAAAGTGCAAAGGAAAAGTTTTTAAGGAAAAACAAAGATGTTACTGATTGGATTTGTCAACAGAAGCAAGCAAGGATACCTGGGCTTGAATCCTGCCTCTGTCACATGTTGAGTGCCTGACTTCTCTGTGACTCAGTTTCCTGGATTGTAAAATAAGATTAATAACAGCATCTACCTCATAGGTTCGTGAGAATTAAATAACCAATCACTTAAGATAGTGACAAATGATATGTACCACTCAATGTTTTTTTATTTTTATTTAATTCTTATTATTGCGATATTGAAGGTCGAATCCATAACACATAAGCCACATTCCCAGCCTTTTAAATTTTTTAAAGAGTTAGGCCCATCAAAATGGCTCAACTGTTAAGCAAAGATGCTGCCAAGACTGAAGATCTGACTTCAATTCTCAGAACCCAAATAGTGCAAGGCGAGAACCTACTTTCCAAAGTTATACTGACTCTACAAGTGAGTGTGTGTGCGCGCGCGCACGGACACAAACACACACACACACACACACACACGTAATATTTTTTAAGAGAACTAAACCTCGCCAAATTGCCAGTGGTCTCCAATTTTAGCTGGGGTTTCAAGACACACTCTTTTATTTCTAACACAAAGCTAACAGTAAGGTACGGATAGTCTTACTCAAATTTCAGGAAACTGTTCCCGCCCACCCTAACAGTACCCCGCCTTCTCCCTTCCTCTTGTCCCGCCTCTTCTCGACGGTCGCGCGAGTCATGCCGGTCCTTGTAGTCCATTCACAGAGTCCTATCGGCAAGAGCCTCGCTCGAGAACTACATTTCCCAGAGTTCCTCGCGACGGCAGCCGTAAAGCGCGGCGGTCGAACGGCCGGTTCCGGCTGAATGTCAGTGCGGGGCTGTGGGCTGGGGAGCAAGGTGCTTGGCGGTCTCTCCACCGCTCCCACCGCCACCGGCTGGGCTTGAGATGTCGCCGCGGACGCCGGGCCGCTGGGCGGATCGGACATGAAACCGTGAGGCAGGCGACGGGGGCTGGTCTGCGGACATGTTTGGCCGCTCACGGAGCTGGGTAGGCGGGGGCCACGGCAAGTCTTCCCGCAACATCCACTCCTTGGACCACCTGAAGTGAGTGTGCGGGGCGCGTGGCGGGGAGGCCGCGGGGCCGTGCGCGGACGCCCAGACGCGGGCTTGGCTTGCGGGGCGCGGAGGTACGAGGAGGACAGGGACGCCGCGGGAGGGTAGTATGTTGGTTATCCGCAAGGCTTTGGAGTCAGGGCACCTGACTTCGAACCCTGACCCTGTCGCTTCTGGCCCTGTGACCTTGGACAAGTCGCGTGATTTTTCAGTCTCCAGACACCTAACCTGAAAAGTAAGGGCATCGTTGAGTTTTCGGTTTGTGGACTGGAGTTGTCTTGATAGGGGACGAACAGTGATCACTGGGCTTCTTGGGGTGGCACTTCTTGGACTGCATCGTTTAGATGCCAGAGGCCCGGTTATTGGCTAGATCTGGATTCGAATTTAGTTAACAGTACACATTTAGGCTTCAGTTTCCTTCACTGTAAAACGAATGGAGTGACAGTACTACTTTTTGTGGTTATTTTTAGGATTGGTTGGATAAAAGAATGAACAAAACGCACAGAACATGTACAAGTGCTCTAAAAAGAACAGTGATTAAAGGAACACAAGTATTTCAGAAGAAAATCTAGAGGGATAGTCAGCAGTAGCACGTTTAGAGAGGTCAGGAGGTTTACAGAGTCCTGGGGAAGCAGGAAAGTACACAGATGAGGCTAGCTTTGGAGTTAGACCTGTGCTCAAATCCTGACTCAGCCACGTAATGACTGAGTAGCTTTGGTCACATTTTACCTCTCTGTCCTTCCAATTTGCCATCACCAGCTAGGAACTATGAACTGTACAAGAATTGGGTGATGTTAAGCATGTGAAGTGATTGATCCAGGATTGCTATACGGTGGAGTGGCTAAGAGGTGGCAAGCCTTCCCAGCACACTCCGGTTCCTGTCTGTCTCTAGGTTCCATTCATTATACCCCGCTGTCTTCTGTGTCTCTGCTTACTCTCACTTCCTTTCTAGCTTTTGTTAAACTAACACTTCCAAGACGGGAAGCTGCATGGTTTCTTTGCAGTTGTATTTCCAGAGGATTGGAGGGGATGGCAGAGAGAGAGGGAGAGAGAGGGAGAGAGAGGGAGAGAGAGGGAGAGAGAGGGAGAGAGAGGGAGAGAGAGGGGGAGAGAGAGAGAGAGAGAGAGAGAGAGAGAGAGAGAGAGAGAGAGAGAGAGATAGAGAGAGAGAGAACAGAGACCTTAGAGAAAGGAGAGGCTCCAGGGAGAGAACTGGAGGTGGAGGTGCCAAGAGGGTGAAGAAAGCAGTTTTCAAAGGGGACCCCAGAAGCTTTGTAATGCTAAGTACAGGAATGGGGATGGGAGGATGGTGGGATAACAACAGAAAGGAAGACAAGGGTCCCTAGAAAGGATTGGTGGGCTAAAACTTGGATGGGGCTTCCCCTTTGATGTTGGGGTATAGAATGACTTCTATCTTTGGAGCAAGGATGTAGTGATTGTTTGTGAATCTCCAAGTGTGGAGAACTGGATGGTTTGGGGGTGGAGAGGAAAGAGGTAGAAGGCAAGAATGGGGCTTGGTAGCAATTCAGAAATCTTAACCGGGATGGCAGATGGCCCAGAAGGGAGTGGGGTGTGGGTGAGTGGCTGAAGGATTTGAAGAATGTGTGGGCAGATTTGGCTGTGAAGGGGAGGGTGATTGTCCTGAGGGGTTGGGCCTCTCACTTAACTTGGGACTGTAGCCCCTTTATGTTCCATTATTGTGTTACTTTGCCTTGTTAAGGATTCCCTGTTTCTTTTAGTCATCACAAGTCTGTGAGTGTGATTGTGTCCTACATAGATAGACTTAGGGGCTAAGATTCAGGTAGCTTAAGGCAAGTCTCAACTCTAGTTTCTTTGTTATAATGTCTTCCTGGATAAAACTTGTCAGTTTGAGGAAACTTTTGACTGGGCTGCATGTGATAGCCAATGGGACATCTTTGCTGGCCAACGAGTAGACACCTGGGGCCTCAAGTTCCTTTCCAATATCCTGGGAATGACTCGGGTTCATTCTCCTGGGAACAAGAGCTTGCCTGCCTTAATTCAGGCGGATCTGTTTAATCCCTTTCACAGCTTCAGGAATCTGGTATTGATTAGCATGGGGCTTAGAAGGTCCAAGGTGACTTGGAAAAGGGCACCACAGGCATCCAGTGCCTACCCCAGGGCTTGTGCTGTCCTTCATCTGCATTCTGAGTACAAACTCCTGGGGGAGGCTGCTAGCTGCTGCTAGGAGACCACAGTGGAGTCAGGACTCTTCAGTGTGTCAAATATAGGGACTGTAGCAGTCCCAGGGGTCTGTAGAATCCCTTTATAGAAACTTTCTGGAGGAGGCAACACTATATCAGAGATTCCCCCAAATGGGAAAGTGTCATCAGATGGCACAGCCACTTTAGGGGCACCATAGTCAGGTTTGTGGCAGATCCGGGTGGAGCTCTTAGCTACGGTAAGCAAGGCTGTGAGGAGAGAGAGGCTTTATTTAACATGTAGGACAATGAACACTTAAAGTTGGTGGAGATCTAGGGTGGGAGGCTGGGGAGCAGAGTGTGGGGTTTTCAGTACTGAAACCAGGAAAGTCTTAAAAGTATACCAGAACAGGTCACCTTCCTAGTTATTAAGTGACCAGGCCCAAATCCTTTAAAACAAAACCAAGCCAAAGAGCACATGCTCTTGCTATAGCCCAGGCTGGTCTAGAATTCATGCTCTCTCTAGATCAGGGGGATTCTAGGATGCATCCATCACATTGCTGCTCTCGGATACATTCTTAGCACAGTCTTGGTGGAATAAGAAGTTAAGATCTTAAGAAAACTGAGAGTAGGGCTCTTTAGTTGTTGATTTTATATATATTTTTTTCCTGCAGGATCACAGGGGTAGAAAGGGGAACGAATCAGTCTTTCTCTGCTCCTGAGTGCTGGGATTACAGACATACAGCACTGTGTCACCACGCCCAACCCCTATTTATAAAGCATTCTTTCCTTCACAGCACTTCCATCTTACAAACTGGAAAGAGACATTCCTGTTACACAGGGTTTTACTTTTGCTAAATAGTGAAAAGCTGTACTTGAGTTATTTACCTACCAAGTTTGGTCAGTCATTTAGTTGGAGGCAGATGGAACAGTCAGGTTGTTATTCATGACACATCATTGATGGTCTGTTGCCCAAACTAGAGACAAGGCTGTGACACTAACTGACAAATGTCTACCCTAAGCAGAATCTCTACTTATAGAGTCCTGTGATGGTTACTGAAATGTCATTTGGAAAGGGGGACCGTGAGCCCACAAACTGATAGAACCTTAGTTGTTACATTGTTGTCTCAATTCTAGTCACTTAATGGTGTCAATCAAGATTCTTGGTTCAAGTGACAGATCCTGATAATTTGCCTTCTGAGTTAGTGGAGTCTATTGAATAGCTCTTGTAACTGTATGGTGTTAGCTACACTATAGCCAAGAGCAGGTGCTTAGTTAGATGTAGCTGTCAGGAATCTGCTCTCCTTCCTTCTGGTCTCATTCTTGGCAGGCTCTGGGCATCACTGTGTCAGCTTAACCATGCAAATGTGAATGAAGCTCCTTTTCTCTGTAAAACTTGTGTTTCTCTCATCCATGCTTTGTCACCCTACTCATTCAGTCCCCATTACCATCTCCTTTGCTCAGTGTCGCCAGAGTTCCAGAAGGTCCCTTTCAACCTGGGGCTCAGGCCATCTCTGAACTAAGCCCCAGAATGCATGTTCTCATTGTTCATGCTTTGCTCACTGGCCTTGCCTGCACGCTCACTCCCAGGGGTTGCAGATCTCAGTTGCCAGGTCAGCAGGCATCCTATATAAAGGCTAAATTCTTGTTGATCTCAAAGTATTTCAGACTCTGCCATTACCATTGAACCTGAGAGTACAGGCACAAGACTGTTCCTAGTGAGCAAACCCCTCCAAATGCAGACTTGCAGGACCTAAGAGATGAGTAGTTATTTTCAGGTTAGTAGGGTAGCAGGGATGGGTTAGAGTGGAGGGCTCAGGCTTAATGTCTCAGGCTTAGGAGGCTGCCTTGAGAGAGCCTCCTGAAAGGTTGGGTGAATAGCTCATCTGTCAGAGCTCCAGTTGTTCAGTGAGGCCTAGGATCCTAAGGACCAAGGCCAGATCCCACTGGGCCTTAGGAGCCACGCTAGAGAACTGAGACTTTATGCTTCAGAGTAAGGACCCTTTATCATCAAGGAAAGTAAACAGTTGGAGAGGGTAAAGGAGGGCCAACCTAAAAAGGGGCAGCCACATACCACAGCAGCCATGCCTGGTAAGTTACTGTGGCACCTACTGGAATCCAAGCTTGTTGCCGTGGTGGCCCTTCTGTCCGTCTGCAGTACGTATCTACCTGCCATCTATCTGCACTCTTGTTCTCCACTACAGCTCTCCCCTCCTTTTCTTCCCAACCTATCCAGATACCTAGTTCTACCCTTAAATTACTGCTGCTTTTATGCAAAGTGCCTCGAGGTTTTAAGCAGTGAGATTCTCATGCTTTTATGTACTGTCTAATCCTTTCTGGGAATGGATTAGCTACCAGGTCTTGTAGATTCTCCAGGCTTCATTCTGATCTTGAGTTAGATTCCCAGGGAGCTGGCCAGGTTTCCACAGGCTTGTCCTTTGTCCTAAGACAGTGTCTTAGTTTGTATACATCTGCTTGTCTTTCTTCATGAGCACATATGCTTCATGAAGGCAGGAATCTGTGGTTTGTTCAGTTGGAGATTGTCTAGTACATGTCCAGAGCCAGACACAATAAGTAGTCAGCAAGTACAGATCAAAAGGTGAACCAGAGAGGCCATTCTTTTCTAATAGAGCCTATGCAAGAGCTGTGGCCTTTTCTAGGGCAAATGGCCCTTCCTACACCCCTGCCTTGTTTCCTAGGCCCAGTTCCACTCTCTGGCCTGGTTTGATGTCTTTGGGGTGATTCACCAGAAGCACACTGTTAACACGGTCCTCTAACTCTCTGATCTGATCCACCTTGTATGGAGTACCACCTGGTTCTGTTGTCCAGAAT